GACAGGTCACTGATTTGGTAAACTGATCTGTGGGTTAGGCTCTGGCAGGCTGGGTGGATTTGACTTTTGGGGTGTGTTGGATAAGCTGCCTTCTGCAGAATGTCTAGCCATTCCTGCCTGTAGTTTGTTGACTATAATACTTTATTGAAATACAAAGATAAAACACTGCTATGGTCACTAGTTAACATGTACACCTGCTTGTATGCACCTGTTGCACTATTAGTACTCTGAAAGAACTACTAGGATATAGTTGTTACACTGAGCTTCTGCCCTTAGGTGTGAGAGCTGGCAAAAGATTACGTTAATGCTTAGGGCAGTTCTTCAAATAGCTTTATGAAGTGTTTTGTGGGTTTGTTATTGGGGGAGTAGAAAACTCTTCTTTGTGTGTTTATATGCATGTGGTACTTAATGAGCTAGTCATTTTTCCAGCGGAAAAAGCTGTTGAGATGATTCCAACATGAGACGTAAGAGACTGGGAATGCGTTCTTGTCTAGCTCTGAGAGATTGAAAAGTAACTTTATTTGGAATAATGTTGACAAATACTCCATTTCTGTCAAGGGAAACAAGATAATATGCTTGTCTGATAAAATTCATGTTATATTGGTATATGGAGTAGCTTTGAATCTTAAGATTCCTTCTTAAAAGTTAGGAAAATGGAGAGCTGATACAGCTTTTGATGAAATTTGGTGTACAAAGCAGCCCGTGCTTTCTTTACACCCTATGTGCAGGTAATTGATTAGAGATAATAAATTTCAGATGGCTTCAAGTTTAACGCAAGTATTTGAATAGGAGCATACTTCCATCGATTCCTAAGTAAAATGTGCTTTGAGAAATCACTTTTTTTCATGTTATCTGTGCCTACTTGCCCACTACTGCTATGCAGTTAGTACTCAACTCCATGAAGATCCTGATTTAACAGAGACTGGTCTATTTGGCAGTGTGGATTAGCAGGTGAAACCAATACTGTCTTTAAAAGAGCAGTAGAAGAAGTGATAAGCCCATCATGTTTGGGGTCTGGGAGTACCTTTGAGCTCTTCTTCCTTCCTTTGAAGTAAGATAATGAAAGCAAGCTCTTAAAGTAGAATCAATGCTACACTGCAATCAGTATGGGTATATAATTTCATTAAAGAACACATACACACACAAAACCAAAACAACCACATAAACAACAAAGCTGCTTGACACACTTTAAAAATACATCTCTAGTTTCCGTTTTGAAAGGCAAAAAGTCTTTTGCCCTCATCCATTAAAACTTTGTTTTAGTGTTCCCAGTGCATGTTTCCTCTGATGGTCAGAGACTTCTGCCTGGCAAAATGGCCACACTGACTGGTTTGTTAGGCCATGTCCAGACAGGTATGGCATTGCCTAAAAACTCTCAGAGGTATTACCTGATAGTGTCCTGTCACCTCTGCTTTGTTCATGATAGCCTGCAGAAGAGTAAATGCAGGTTCTAGCATGAAGATTGTCCCTCTAAGTTGTTTCATCCTGCAGATAACAGGCCTGTCTTCTTGCACTTTATTGATTTAATTCCGCCCAGTTGTTCTCAGACTAGTTTTGTGAACAGCACCTATGTCTGTTCCCAACCATTTGATCTAAAAGGCTGTGATGAGGGCTTGGTACTTGAAAAACTTTTTTTTTGGAGCTGATGACAGTGGCTAATCAATGATTCATAAACGCTTTCTTCAAAGTAGTATTGAGTCTTCTCTGCAAGCAGAGTATAGTACAAAGAACAAAGGTTGAGCATGTAGATGCATCTTTCTTCTCATCTTCAACCTGCTCATGCAAGGTCCACTTTGCCCTGGTAACCATCGGGATAAGGCATGCGGAGGCCCACTTGGTCTGGGTGTCAGTCTGGGGACTGAAAAAATCCTTCCTTCCACAAACAACTCTATGCTTCAAGATAGCACCTTTGAAGCTTGAGTTCTCTTTTTGCCTTGTAGTTTTGGTAAATATCTCCACGTCCACACCCAAATCTTGATTTACTGGATTAAGTGAGGGGCAGATCAGCAGTACTGCTAAACTGTTACCCTGCTGTTCTCTGGCAGTCTTTCAGTATGTCTTAACAGAGCATCTGATGCTCTCTTTATTTATTTTCCAGTTTGTTTTGTTTATTTGTTCAGTTTGCTGTTGGTTGGTTTCTTTTTTAAAATGATGCATCCAGGCATATTAAAAAATAACTACTCCTCAACACAGGCTCCCAGTATGATATCAAGTATTTAAAGTTATTGCTTCCTCCCAGCTTTCTCAATCTAAAAAATTGATTGGCTTAGTAAATCCATGCCAAAAAAGTGAGGTACAAATCTGTTCCTCAAAAATGTATCAGGACCTCATGAAAATCAGTTTTCTGGTCCTAATGCTGTAATGGGAAACTTTACAAAAAGATGAAGATATTCATAAGGATCTGAAAAGTGTACTTATGTAAAATCATGGCTTTTGTCAGAACCTGAAATAAATAATAAAAGCCATGCAGCAGGTATAAGCAGCCTCTGAAGCACAAATGCCCTGGGAAGAACAGGTACAGAGACAAGGCAGCAGGCGGACCTGAAAATAATTGAAAATAACCACCTTTGCTTAGAGTTAGTCTCAGTGAATCAAGCTGATTTAGCTCCTGCTTGAGGCAGGAGGGGGCAGATAACTACTGGTAACTGGCATAAGGTCACTGAACACTTTCTAAAGAGGATACTGTGCAGCAGTTATTTTCAGCTTTTTTCAGTTTAGAGACTCCTTCAGAGCAAGCTAGGCTCAGATCTGCTGCTCCATCATGGTTACTAGGAGCTGGCTGGTCTAATGGACTGAAAGAATTAAGGAACAGATTAGACATGAGACAGTCCTGTGCATTGCATCCATGCAAATGACAGAATATGGAATGGGCTATATTTTTTTGGTTTTAGTTTAGGAGAATTGATGAAGAGCAAACAGGTTCAGTATGGCTGAGGTAGGCTGTTCTAACACTTTCAGGATATGGCTCTATATAAAATCCATCACGTATTTGGGTAACAGCTTCAGTTGTTCAGATGATAATAGAAGTACTAATATTTGCTTTATGAAAGAGGGATGTTCACATATATCCTTCCTGGTAATTTTACTCTGTGGTTCTGTACAGAGAATCAAAACAAACTGTAAACCTGTAAACAAAGTCTATGTAAACACAGCTTCCACAATACATGTGATTCCTGCTTAAAAACAAAAGGAGCAACCAAGTTCCATTATCTTAAATTTAGGGTGGCTGTTTGTTACTAGTTTTCATTTATGGAAAGTACTATTTAAGTACTGAAGATTGCCATAAATAAATGCCTGTTTTATTTGGCAAAAAAGTCACTTATGAGACAGAGCTGAATTGTATTTGTGATTACACTTCAGTGTCTCAATGATCCATGTCTTGCAGAAGACCTATGCAATGATTTTTTTTTTATCTTGTCATAGTAGATCTGTTGTTAGAGATTCATTAAGGGATCTGATTATATAGCATCTGCTTCCTCATCTGATAAAAACTGAGAACTAGTTTTGTTTTCAAGGTTTTATACATTCGTGATTCAGAGCGATTCCCATGTCAGCAAGCTTTAATGTGGAAAGGCTAATTCATATCGCAAGTGAGTGAGAAGCGGTACTAGAAGGGCAGGAGAGAAAGAATCCAGCGAGGATCATAGCGATTCACAGAGAATAATTCTTCCCGTAGGAATAACGAACTCGTTCACATTGTGACTGAATTGCATGTGGTCTTGCTGTGTCTTCTTGCCAATGTTTGCATAAAACCTCATTTAAGTGTTGTTGCCTGTCCCTGGAGGAAGAGTTCCAACATGATTAATGATGTGCCATCACATCTTTTGAGTAAGACAATTAATGCTGTTCTGTCACAAGCCAAAAGACCTATATGGTGAAGCACTCAAATGTTGCAGGAAGATTGTAGTCTTCTGATGTTGTTTTAGTGATAGCAGCATATGTTTAAAGAAACTTTCTGTACTAAGAGAAAATGTTTTGTGGCAGAAACAATTGTTTTTTCATCTGGTTTGATCAGGGTTCGTTTCACCTCTTTTGAGCAACTTAATGGAGCTGCTTAAGTGAGAAGCTGTGCTTCTGGCAGGAACCTGTCTGAAGATGACAGCAAACTCTACCTAAAGGAGAGTCAGCCCAGTAACCCAGATCTACCCTCTGACAGGCCCACCTTCTTTCATTAGCTAAGTACAAAGGCTACTGCAAGTAGGCTGACTAATTCAGTGTCTGTAGCTAGATGTGATGAATCTGAGCATGTGACTCAATTTCTGATGGGCAGGAGAAATTGTAGTGCTCTGTTAGATGATAATCCATAACTAAATTGGTTTATTTTCTATTGGAAAGTTCTTCAGAGTTGGTAAGTTGACTTTAACTGTTTTTCAGCTTTGTGCTTTGATAGGGAACAAGCAATGGTTGTGGCGATTATAGATCTTCAGTCGAATCTGTTGGTGTTAAAGATACAAGTCAACCATGAAAAATGTGTAAAGAAAATACTACTTCAAATGCAAATATAATTTCTTACCTTCCCTTGAGAAATCCCAGGATTGTTTGAACCTATTCTACTCCCAGATGGCTAGGTGCACTTTCAGGACTGAATTATGCCTGTGTGGACAACTAACACATTGGTACTAATAACTGAGTGCTCATAAGGCCTTAGTTACACTCCAAATCAAAGAAGATCCTGAAGAAAGTTATAACATGACTGGAGTGATCAAAGTGGTAATTTGCAAAGGTGATGTTGAAATAATGTCGTTAGTGGTATTGTATGATGTGTCATAGGCACTTGTTTTTATAAAGTATTGCATGAGCGTTCAGCGTGCAGATTTTGAGTACAAGTGGTCATTAATGTGTGACACCTCGCTTGTCTAAATACCAAAGCCATTGTCCTATTTTCAAGTTTAATTTTCAGACACATCATTTAGTAAACACAGTAATATGGATATCAAAATAAGGATTTTTTTTTTTCACACTTAAAGGTGAACAAAATATATGAATTGCTTTTTTTTTAGGAGAATTACTGAAGTTTGGATCGCTATCTTGATACTATAAACCTGCAATAAGTGGCAATGTCAAGGGTTCCCACCCCACCTCCTCCTGGGGAGATGTCCAGTGGACCTGTGGCTGAAAGCTGGTGTTACACACAGGTAACCTACATAAATTCCAATGGTTTATTTTCTAGTAATAATTATAATTTTTTAAAAAATCTAGAATTATTGAGTTGTGCTGACAATCTAACTAGTTCTTATAGTTAATGCTTGATGTGTAAGTTCAATTGTATTGACATTTTCTACTACTTTTGTTCAGGTTAAAGTAGTAAAATTTTCCTACATGTGGACCATTAATAACTTCAGTTTTTGCCGAGAAGAAATGGGTGAAGTTTTAAAGAGTTCTACCTTTTCATCAGGGCCAAACGACAAAATGAAATGGTAAGGTCTTTATTCTGGCAACTGCATTGATTTTTGATATTTGTTTTTTTTCCACTTGCAAAAGTTGCAAAGTAAAATTGCAAATAAATATTAAAACTTGGACATTTCTTGAAGTTTTTACTATAGATACAGATTGGTTCTAATTTCAAAGTTTCAGCAGTCATAAGGGAAACATTTTTTTTGGTAGCTGGACCATTGTATCTTATAAAATTATTTCTGAATTTATTCTGGGTACTATTTAAAAATGTACAATTTCTGCATTTCTTTCAGGTGCCTGAGAGTGAATCCAAAGGGATTAGATGATGAAAGCAAAGACTACCTGTCATTATATTTGCTTTTAGTCAGTTGTCCAAAAAGTGAAGTCAGAGCAAAATTCAAATTTTCCCTTCTAAATGCTAAAAGAGAAGAAACAAAAGCAATGGGTAAGGGAATCTTAATGTATTGCATGTGGATTTGTAAGAACATCCCAAAGAAAATCAGAGTTGTCATTTTTTTTCAGTTGAGAACAGAATTTATTATTGATATAAACTTTAAAATATCCTTTTTGAAACTTAATTAAAAATCTTGTTCATGTTTCCAACATTTCTGATCACTAAGCTATGTTAATTCTATCCTGAGCAGCATAGATTACAGCACATTACTAACCGCCATCATTCCAGACTCTTGTCACTTAGCTTTTCTAGCAGGTTGTTCTTGCGTCCTGTTAGTAGAGGTGTATTTGCTTGTTTCTAGCTACAGTGGAAGTAAGTGTTTGATTTCCATAGTTAATTAGGATGGACATGCATGGTTGTTTTTTTAGACACTCCTTTACAGTGTTTTGGTCTATTTCATCTGATTTGCACTGTAATCAGTTTAAAAACGAGCCATGTACCCAAGGAATTAGAAGACTTTGAAATAATTGGTGATTTGATTTAATGCCTTCTTGATATGAAAAATGTATGGCTCTTAGTTTCAAGCTTATAAGCACAGCCTTCATTGGAAACACTTTTTGGGAAAGCTGGCATTCTCATGAAAGCATGTAATTTAATGCTGGTCTGCACTGAGTTTGTGCTGTTGCTAGTTCTGTATATGAAGAATCTATCTACTTTTCTTCCCTCCTACTCCAGGGACTTAAGAGATCTTGCAGGGTCTGTTCTGAATTTCTTGGAAAAATCTATATTTCTCCAGTACTTGTACCCAAAGCTCATGCTACTTTCTCCTTAGGCCCACTTGTAATCTTTAAAGTAAATCCACAAAACTGTGTTCAAATCTAAAAATTAAATTGTTGGACTTTTTGGAAGGAAAGTAAATAATATGTGTTTCACTCTATCCTCTCCCACTGATGAAGATGGTTGCTCCAATCCCTGCAAGCATCCTGGTCTGGAGATTATAGGAACAAAGCTACACAGTTATATATATTTGGTGGATGGTGGCTTTTGGCTTGACATGGTCTTCCAGTCCAGTAGTGGATTGGTGTATTGTAATTGAATGAAACTGCAGTATGTGCATCAAAAATTCTTTTGAGATAATCATAGAATCACAGAATTGTTGAGGTTGCAAGGGACCTCTGGAAATTGTCTGAAAGCAGGGTCAGCTAGAGCAGAGCAGTTTGCTTGGGACCTGTTGTGCTTTGAATATCTCCAAGGATGGAGAGTCCACAATTCATCTGGGCAACCTGTTCTAATGTTTAACTAGATGCTACCGGTCCTTTTTTGCCTTAGGGGTTCGTTGCTGGCTCTTGGTCATTTGTTGTCCACCAGGACCCAATCTCCAGTCACATTTCTTCCTGAGCAGTAGGTTTGTAGCAAGCACTGAGCACAACATTGCTCACATTGGCCTGCCTTCTAATCCCAACCCTTAAACTCTCAGCTGGCTCATCATCCATCGCAAGGCAGAGCTCCACACATTCCTGTGGTTCTCATGTAAAGGGCAGCTCTCTTGCCTTGCCTCCCTGAAGAGCCTGTACCCATGCACCGCAGCACTTTGGTTGCATGAGCCATCCCATCATGTCTCGGAGGCCAAGGAGATTGTAGCCCTGTAACTGCACACAGACCTCTAATTCCTCCTCTTTGTTCCCCATGCTGTGTGTATGAGTATACGGACAGTTCAGAGAGGCACTCAGTTGTGCTGACTTCCCAGAAAATATGAGAACTTTCTTCGTAATGCTGTCCTCAATGAGGGACGCATGATGTAAGATGGAGGGATTTTGAGAATCTGAATCTTATTAGCCAAGTGGTACTTTAAATGCTAAAAATCACAATGTGCTAAAAACCAAAAGTCCTATGAGTAGAAGTGTCTTCAGTTTCTGCAATAGTAGCTGTCCTGTATTTGGCACTACTGGAATTATAAACATCTTTTCATTTTGGGAAATTGCCAACAGAAATCTTATTTCTTGGACTTTCCAGCCATTTACCATCTGCTTCTGGAGATGCTCTATGTTTATTTATACAGTATAATGATGCCCAACTTTAGATGTCCTTTGTAAATTGGTAATTCATGCATAGACTGCTGGTTCAAGTGATGAAGCTGTGTATAAAATAGGTAACGAACTAACATTTTGACTTTATTAGAAAGAAGAAAAATGCATTTACACTTTCATGCTGCTTTATTTTTATGGTTTTGTATACTTAAATTGCTACCGATCACTTAATTTCAGAGGGTTAACACTGGTTCTTGCTGATAACGGTAAAAACTAGATCTGCAGCATAAAGAATTGAGCTGCATCTAGAGAATAAGTTTTTGAACCTTTTTCAAAATGTGATTTTCTGATTTTATTTTTTCATCCAATTTCATGATGGTGAAATTCATGAAATCATGAAATCAAATTCATGATTTCATTTAATGAGGTTTGTTGTGAGCTTTTGGCAAGTTGGTAAAAATGTGAAAACACTAATCCAGATGCCAAAACTAAACAATATTTTTTAAAATGGCAATTTTTCTTCCTTGGCGTACAGATTTGAAAATGTGAACAGTATTCTACATTTGTTCTGTCGCCCTCAAAGCCCACACTGCACTTCATTAAATGCATTTCTCTCTGCTGCTGTTCTCTGCATGGGTAAGGGGTTTTTTTGTTTGTTTGAATATGAGAGTGTGATAAGGTGACAGAGATAGACACCTCCTGCATTGTCAGTTCCTGGGTGGTTCTTCATTGTATTAAAAAAACACAATGAAAACCTGTACAACATATTTTGCTTGACCTAATTCTAGTGAAAACATGTTATGAATATACTTCTGCCAGCTATTGGCAGTGAGGACAATGCATTATACATGTCTGTTTTCAAACACACGCAGTGTGTTACATGGTCAAGTCTGTTTCAGTGATGCTACCAAGTTAACTGGTGTAGAGAAGTCTGACTTTCCTGATGTCTTTATTTTGGACATTGTGGACGGAATGATATTTTAACAAATTCTGTCATGAAAACTACTTTGCTTTTATAACAAACTCCTGACATAAACTTCTAAGTTTCTCTCCTGAAGGCAAAAGTATGTATCCATACAGCAAACGAAATGGTAACGTGTTTCTTGCCCAGCTCTTTTGGAAGGAAAGTTCTGTTTTGGAGAACTCTTCTTGAGATTTTTTTTTTTTCTCTTGTTCCACTGGTATTAGAAGTATTCTTGCTCTCTTCATTTTGGACGATCTTTCTAAATATAATTAATAATGTTTTATTCCACATACTTATTCAAAGTCATTCCCAAATAACCTCCTTCCAATGCTTTACCTCCATGTAAAAATATATGGTGCTCTTTCCTCTGGTTCAGTTTGTGGAACAAGTGGCCACCTTAAAGTGAATGTGTCACATAAAATAACTAAACTTACTGAATTAAGTGTATTTGCACTAATATGACCTTGGGAACCCTTTTGCGGGCTGTGAACCTTAGAACTGGAAAAAAAAGGTTGTGTAGTCACAGCAAATCTGATGGATTAAAAAAAAAATTTCTTGTAACTGTGGCGAAAAGGTAAATATAAATAATATATTTTTATGACCAAAGAAATAGTTTGTTACTTGAAAGCTTTTATTTCTGTTTTGCTTTTTAAATGCTTTTTACTGTACTTCAGAATAATTTCAACCTGTGAAACGAGATTTTCCATTTCAGGAAGAAGTCAAAACAGATTGTTATGACAACTGCAGAAGTGTTGTCAGAATGCATTTGTGATGACAAATTCATTGTAATGGTACTTCCCTGTGAACAGTTTCTATTTTGATACATTGGCTTTCTTAAACATTAACTGAAAAACTCCTGTCTTGCTGGATGGTGCTAAGATAACATCTAAGGAGATGATATGGTTTGAATTGCAAATTGTGCTCTACTAAGTTCTATCAAGTGTTTTATAAAATAATACTATTGCAACATTTTAAAAAGTTTTAATCAGTTGTTGATTTCCTAAAAATGTGACATATGATCCAGATGTGTTAAATTGATTCATTTTTTGATTAACACTTAGGCTCAATATAGAATTTTTAGGTGTTGTTATTTGTTAATATTTTCATTTAACTTGCTTTATTTGTACATAACTGTGTTTTATCAGAAAGCCAAAGAGCATATCGATTTGTTCAAGGCAAGGACTGGGGTTTTAAGAAATTTATCCGAAGAGATTTTTTACTAGATGAAGCCAATGGTCTTCTACCGGATGACAAGCTTACATTATTTTGTGAGGTGGGTATAGGTTTTTAAGTGGTAAGCTTTCAAATAAAATGTTTCTGCACTAATAAATAGAGGTTTATGTTGATTTAAACAGTAATATGCCATAAAAGTTGTCTTCTGTAAACTATAAATATGGTAAGATAAACATTTACTTGCTTTGTCTGTGTTGTATTTTGTTTTCTTTTTTGATACACGTATACTGAAGTGTAGAATAAGTCTGAATTGATCACTTATAAACTGTTGGGCTTCTCTATGAATCTGCTAGGATTACATTGGAATAGACGATAGCCTTATTTATGCAAAAGGTGGCTGATACTATTTTTATAGTAATTGTTACATCTTGTTTTCTAAACAAATGCAAGTATCCTATACAATGACTGCTTAATACTGAGAATTAATATGGAGAGCTGTGGTATAAATTTAACTTTATGGTGTATTATGGGTCACTTTTATAATATCTGTTATGTTGGTAACCTAAATTGTCATACTAAAATTCAGTAAAATGCTTACTCGATGTTAAAAATGAAAACTGGTGAAAGTTGCAGTGTAAGTACAGTGTATGTAATGTTGGCTGGTTATCTTCGCTGCCATAAAGTGATTAGTGACTTACGAGGATGATAGATGCTCTAACTGCTAATAAGTTTGCTTTGATCTGTGTATTTACAGGAAATGTGTAAAATTGTCTTGGCAAGATTACAATTTAATTATGTGTCATTATGCTGTGTAGGAAGAATAATTGAAATGTGGCCCCTGAGACTAGATATTGCAAATATAGTGCATCTTATTTTCACTTAGACAAGTTAAATTAGCTGCATGATAAATTTGTTATGAATACAATTATTTGGGTGATAAAAGCAGATTTAACAAGTGTGTACTGATTCTGTAAAGATACTTTTGAGTGTTTTCTCATTTTAAATTTTCCTTGTAATGAATACTTTGATGTAAATGAAGAGCTCTTAAAAGCAATGTTTGGTTTTGGGAACAGGTTACTATCTAATTTTAGAGATAACATTTGTTTAAGAAAAATTTACAAATACTGAATTTTCCAGAGACAAATTGTTGTTCAAATTTTGATGCTAATTTTTAAATATAAAAGTGTTTCTCTACAAAACTTCTCGATGTTTTAATGAGTGGCTTTTGTGAAGTGTTTGACCTACCCTGATTTTAAATGTTGAAGGAAGTACTAGGTTTAGTTGTTCACAGTGAGCATGTCAAAATAACTTCTGCCTTGTTTCAGACTAAAGCAAAAAGAAATTGGAAATCCAAATATTTTTAAAGATTGTTTATTCTGATATGTTCTTCTAGCTCTTCAGCTGTCATTAGAAATAATAGGTGTTGTTTGAAGGAGCTTTTCTGTAGACAAGTCTGCAGTTTTTGTTCTTTTAAAAATGAACTGTAAATTCTAATTTCTGTGTTTGCCTTCCTACTTATCCTAGTTGGAAGACTGACTTACCACTTGTTAAAATTATATTGCACTTGGCTTGATAAAGCTTACCAGATATAGCAGGTATTTAGTAAAGGTCCCGGAGTACCAATTGTGCTGGTTGGCTCTTCTTTTCTCCCTGTTAGGTTGCAGAAGGATTATTTGGTCTTCCTTGGCAGCAAAGATATTTCTTCTGTGTTGCCGAATGCCCTTAAGATCATTTGGATATGTCCTTGGATTAGAAACTGAAGGGTTGATACGTTAAATACTTTGCAAAGTCTGGTGTTGCCACTGACAAGTGACCTATTGATTAAATACAACTTCATAATTTTGTTTTTTTTTTAAGCAAACTGATCTCTTTCACTCAGTTCTCACTTTCTGTATAATCTGAAATTACTGAAGCATTGCAAGTATTTTCATTTGCTAGTAGAATAGTAAATTCTCTGCAGGGATGTTTTTCCTATTGAGTCCTTTCACAGATCTGTTACCTAGCTTAGGTTGAGAAAGTAGTCTAAAGTATCACTTACATCATTGTTACTATTAGACCACCACAGATTCAAAACCAAGGAAATGATACACATTATCCATATTATCGGTCATGACACAGAGAACTTGTTCAAGTCATAGTTCATACATTTTTATATACCCTTACACATGAGGGTATGCAATGCAAACAGGACCTGTGCCCTCAAGTATGCATGTGCAAGAGCTGCATGTTGGATAGCTTCCTAAGAAGGAAATCAGACCTTGTGGAGTACCTGAAAATCCTAGCTAGATTGCTGCTTCTCTTTAAGATAGGTTGTTTGCTATTAGTTCTAGCATCTCCTCATAATCTTGCAGTTCAGTGAAGAAATACTTTCACTCTCGCAAGTGATTTTTTTATAAACACAACTGTAAAGTGCCTGAAGTAAGCATTTGCTATTGGGTGTTAGGACAATCATAAAACAGTCACTTTTCGTCTAAGAAAAATTTTCAATAGTTATGTGGGATTAACTTGATTGGATGTTAACTTGATTTAAATTAAAATTTTAAAAAAGAGAATAAACTTGATTTTAAGCATACCATGTGGACAAGTGAGATATGAAATATCAGACCCCTGTGAGTGTTTGTATTTAGGATCTTTAAAAGTTGTTACAACCTGTAGACAATATATGCCAGGCTGTTCAGATGTAGGAGAGTTGAATTAAAATTTTGATCGGTTTATATCTCAAAAGGATGGGTTGTAGCAAATTGTTGTGTTGCACAACTACTAATTTATATTAGAAACCACTCTAAAATAGCAGAAGCTTGGAACATCAGAGATCATTTAAGTACACATAAAGAATGTGTAGATGGCCTTCATAGGCACTGTCTATAGCTAACAAGAGGATGCTGTGTGGACAGCTTGGATCATGAGCTTTTAACTGGCATCTCTGGCAAAGCAGAACCCTCTCCTTTGACAACAGAAGACTAGCTTTGCTAAGTTAAAACTCTGCTTGTGTGTACATGTATTTCCTGAAATAACTCTGTGTGTGAAAACTGTGAAATAGAATACACAATAGCTCTGTAGACCTTTCAATGTTATAAATGTATAATCTTACTGTGAAAGTGAAATTTCACAGTGCTTTGGGGTATTTTTTTTCTTTCCTTTAAAAGGTGGAAGAATATGAAGGAATTTCTTAAAATCACAAGGGGGTATAGGATGAAACAGGGAATTAGGCAATGATTCAAATCCCCGGGCTGCTGTCTTAATTGGATCATCCTCCTCTTACGATCTGGAGTTTGGTTTGCAGTGCTCCAACTCTCTGTGAAGCTTAGCTGTGCTATTTTTGCTTTATGCCAGATTTATTCCAAATGCTGTGCCTCTGAAATCAAACAAAGCACTGGTCTTAACAGTAGCAGTATTTTCTGTTAAAACGTAATCCTAGTTTTCTGTATTTGGGAGATGCAGTGATCAAGATCTTGTAGTATGGCTCTTCTCTTCTGTACGAAGGTTTTATTCTCAGGTGTGTGCTCTCAGACAACAGAAGTAAAACCTGCTGAGCTGCTCTTTTTTCCCAACATACTGATTAAGAGGACTTAGTATGTAAAGATGTCTGAAAAAAGCAAGTAAGAATGCTACTGTTCTGTTTACTTCTTATGTGAAAGGCTTAAACATGGGAAATAATGGCAGTATATTCACTTCTGATGCACATATTTCACAATTTTCTTAACTAGTTCTGTACAAAAATTACATCCTGTGAGCATGTGTTTCATTATTGAAGTTAGTTACCTACCACATATTTATTTCATCGACTTATATTTCTAAAATAATGGCTTTTAATCTTGTTTGTAAGACAATCGCTCATGATTCCTGCCTCATCTGGACACAGTAAAATGAAATAATGAAGGAGCTATGTTACTTGCACTTAGTTTGTGTTATCACATTGCAGGTTAAGTATGAATCTACTGTAATTAAAATTAAGAATGTCATAACTTTCAAAATTGATATGGGTTATTCTTACGAGACTTTTCTGCTACCTTGTGATGCTGATCTAAATGTCTTTAGAATTTTATATTCTATACATTTTACTTAAATGTGTGAAAAGTGTTGAACTGTTAGTTTATCTCTGAAGTAGTGTTAACATTTTTTGATCTTGCTGGCATCCCAAGAACCATATCTGTCCTTATTTACTTTGGCATTTCTGTCAGGTGGCATGTGCTCTTTCTTCTTGTTTTGGTTGGATAAATACACAGTTTTACTTAGAGTGTCTAAGGAAAGCTCTATTTGTTTTACGTTACTTAAAAGTAAACAGTAAAGCATTGGTTTATGGTTCTGGCCTAATGCCAAAAACACCACTGTTTTTGCTTTGCTTTGGAATTGCTGAAATTTTAGCAATAGGTACTGTTAATTTCATTATTGTTGACATTCAGTTATGAAGGAGTTGTCTTGCTGTGATTTTCTGTTAGGTAAGCGTGGTCCAAGACTCAGTAAATATATCAGGACAGTCTAATACAAACACTTTGAAGGTACCTGAATGTCGACTAGCAGAAGATTTAGGGAATCTCTGGGAAACAACAAGATTTACAGATTGCAGTTTTTATGTAGGAGGACAAGAATTCAAAGCTCATAAATCTGTCCTTGCAGGTACTTTCTACTTTTGTATTGCTATTATTTTGTCATTATAATGGCTAAAATTTTAAAATTTTATTATATTTAATATTTACTTTTCTTGCTACAGCACGATCTCCAGTTTTTAATGCAATGTTTGAACATGAAATGGAGGAAAGCAAAAAGGTAAGCCTTACTGAAAACATTACATGTAAATATTTGTACCTTGTGAAAAGGGGCAAAGTTGCAGAAAACTTGAAGTATTGCATATTGGGAAAGATGACTACTGCATCATGGTGCATGAGTGGAGGAGGTACTAATCCTGAATGCTTTTCAGGTGAATTCTGTGAATACGAATTTGGTTTCTTAGTGTAGAAAGAACAGATAGGGCTGACTGTGGAGTGGTTCTGGAGGATTTGTTCTTTCAAGTATTTATATCTGCCCTATATTGTTTTTTTTAACATTAGCTACTGATGTAATTGACCTAGTAACCTCTGCCTCTTTTTTGCTTTAGTTTATACCTTCACATACGCTGATTGACTTGCCTAAGGTTTTGCTATAGTGTATTAAAACATTTTACACAGTAGCTAGGACACAAAGAAACAACAGGTGAATTATGACTCAAATTAAGCCCTGAGGCAGTAAAGCTCTGCATTTCATTCGCAGTTTCTGCAGGCACTTGACCTGTATAAGTGTTTTGGATGGATAGTTACTTAATCAGCACAGAGAGCTGCTTCTGCTTTTATGCATAGGATATCTCCCTCAGTGAGGAGTTGTTTGTGTCTTTCATGAAGAAGAGTATCTAAAATGGGTTGGTTATAGGCAGAATCCATGAAAAGGCACAAGGAACAGATCAGGTCACTAAAGGATTGTAATAGATGATCGTCACTTAGTCTTGGAGGCTGCAATGATGCCACTTGTGTGAACAAATACATCAGATGAGTATGGTGCTGTAGTACAATTGAGTTTCAGAAACATGCCATTCTTCTTCCCTGCGCTTCTCCAATCTGGAAGCTTTCACAGGTAGAATTGGAATATTGGAAGCCTTTTGTTGGGATTTCTGGACTAAAAGAAACCCAGACATGTCCCTCCTTCAGTAATGTGCCATGCTGGGGGCCTTTGCCTTCATGTTAGCAGTGCAGCCCTACTCCTAAATGCTGTATGTGGTTCAGTGGGTAGGAAACCAGAACATGTACATCTCATGTGCTGATAGCCTGTGATTTTTGTACCCTATTCAATAGTCTGGTGCTTGCTTCTACATCTTTGACATAATTTCCTACTTGTTAATTTGCTTATGGGGAATACTGTTAGAGGATGGAGTCAAGCATTCAATATCACAGTTTTACTAGGATGGTCTTCAGCTACGTCAGTTAGATGTGCAGCTTTGCTTTTTGGATTCCAAGAACAAAATGTAGGCTATATTGACTCAATTTGAGTTGAGCCAAAAATGGCTCACTTTGTTCTGTCTGCTGTTCTGACTTCTGATATTCCAAGCACATCATTGTTTTGTTGGAAGCTCAGTGATGCTTTTAAATATTCCTGAAACTGTGCCTTGATTTTTATACACAGACTGTGCAATGGAGTCCAGAGTTAGAAGAGCTAGAAGACAAGTTGGAATTACTGTTTATTGCTGAAGCTTTTCCAACTGATTTCTACCTGACTTTAAGAGCTACTGATTTTGATTGCTTTCTGCTTAATATTGTTGAATGTTAACTTAAATTTGTAAGGATTTTGTGTGATGAATGGAAAATGAATACTTCTAGTGTGCATGCAGATGACATTTGGTATGTTCATTTTAAACTTGTAGCTAAACTGCAGAGGCTGTTATTGATTCTTCTTCTTTACCAGAATCGTGTAGAAATAAATGACGTAGACCCTGAAGTTTTTAAAGAAATGATGAGATTCATTTACACAGGAAAAGCACCAAACCTTGAAAAAATGGCTGACAATTTGTTGGCAGCTGCAGACAAAGTAAGTAATTGACTCCTAAGTTCTCAAACCTGATGTTTGCTTGTGGAATGTTCTTCTAAAAAGCCTTTTTTTTTTTTTTTTAGATTGAGATATTTTTGATTTTTTTTTAATGAGAAACAAATCTCCATCAGAAATGGGAGAAAGATGGAAAAGAATAGACTTTTTTTAGCAGTAGAAGGTTGATTTATCTATCTTGGTGAAAAATTTTAGATATTAATTATTTTTACTATCCCAGGGTTTTTTTAGAAATTGGGGACCATTAATATGATTTGGAAAATCGGTCTTGAATAAAATGTATCCTAGATCTTTGTATTCTTGAAGAAGATTAATACAAGCATTTGAATTAACTGTGCTCCCTAAAGTATTGCCACTTCAGAACTTTCATCTTTTTGTGTTCCCTACAAATGTAATAATTCATAATAATTCTCATAATTCATCTCTTCTGTATTGGGATTTTGTATTATCTTTAAATTGTTGCTGTGTGAAATACTTTTTCTACTATGAAATTTGAGGTGAGGGGACTTCTAACAGCACAGCAATTAAGGTGTGACTGTTCCCTTTCATATCATAATCTACAGTTTTCTAACTTTTTAAAGACTTGACCAAGTACCTTGTTTTTCTTCACTGCTTTACAGCTTGAGTTGTAATTTTCGTTAGCTATCCTCAGAGGACACACAGTTGTCTTCCCCTGAGGAGGTATAAGTAGTTTAGAATCCAGAAAACACTCACTTCAGTGTGCGTAATCTGAAACTCCTTCACTCTCAACTGAGAGTATGGCAATTTCTTAAACTGCCTTTGCAATTTCTGAATTGGTTGTGCAATTGTATCTGTAAAACATTAGTGGTGAAACATCCTGTTCTCATAATCAATCCTATCATGATAATATAAGTCATCCCAGCAGTAAATTTCAAGAAACAATTACAATTTTTTTTCTGGCAACTTAATGATGATTTTGATAAAGAGACCATGTCTGTTCCTTGCTTTTCCTCCCTTGCCAAACTAAAGGAAAATGAAAACTTCTAAACAAGTTATTTTTGTTATTTTAATAAAGGTTCTCCCAGTAAAGCATTTGATCTGTTTGTGACAAACCTGATGCATGTCTTACTGTTTGAGGACTCTTCAGTGCAGCATATTGAATTTTGAATTACCTGTTTGGAAGCAGTTTGATCTCAAGCTTGGGAGGCACCAAGGGTTTTCGTGACAAACTGTCTTAAAAACTATAGGGATAACAGTGGAAAGAATGAGTTTGGAGAATGATTAGTGTAGTTTTTTCTTTTATCAGTATGCACTGGAACGGCTGAAGGTCATGTGTGAGGAAGCACTCTGTAGTAACCTCTCGGTAGAAAATGTTGCTGACGTTCTTATCCTCGCAGATTTGCACAGCGCTGAACAGTTAAAAGCACAAGCAATAGACTTTATTAACAGGCAAGTAATATTTCTGAGACTCTACATATATTTGTGTTTATGCTTTGTGTACCTTTTCAACGTTAGTGCATTTCTCTCTTACTACAGGTGCAGTGTTCTTAGGCAACTTGGGTGTAAAGATGGGAAAAACTGGAATAGCAAGTAAGTTTCCCTGCCTCATGATGTTCTGTACAAACACTGCTAAATAGACTCTAGATCTTAAGAACTGTTGCTTCATTTCCACACTACTGAGGCCAGTCACTGACTGTAAATAAAGTAGGGTTTAGCAGGTGCTACCCCAGTTATGATTGTGACTTCCCTTTTGAATGATAGGGAAAGTTAACTGCCCTCCAGTGTGAGATCAGAACAGTGGCTGGTTTTCATCCCTCTCCTAGGGACATAGCAGTGCTGTGAGATGGTGGCGGCAGCCACCACAAGGGAAAGGAAACCATTCTCTTGACTAACCAGGTTTGTGCCTGGAGGAGTGGCAATCCCAGCGTGGTTTCAAGACTTCCTTATGTCAGTCTGAGCCTGCAGTATTTCCAAAGAGAGGAGGGCAGTTGCTCTTTTTGCCTTCAGCAACATGTTTGTGCACCTTCCCACATGCCAGCACTAGTATTCTTGAGGCCACGCAACTAGTCAGTCAGGTGCCTCTGATCTGGCTGACGCTAAGTGCTCATGCCTACACTGGGAGTAGATTGAGAATATGTGGCTCACTGTGGGACTGATTGCAGAATATATTTAAAACTCACAGCTCAGGTAAATCATGGAATAGACAGCCAGATTCAGAATAGCCAGTGGTAGGCTGAAGCAGTGAAAGGACAGCAGAGCACTTATTTCTTACTGACAGACTCTCCAGAGAAATTAAAATCTGTGTTGTACCAGTTACACAGGCCTAATGATTGAGCGTGATGTGGAAAAGGAAAGGGGTCGTAGAAGAGAAATAGTAAAATGCCAGTAGAAAAACTGCTAAGTTGGAATACGTAATAATGTAAACTGGTTGACATGTTCCTTCTCAAGTGATTTCGAAGTTACTGAGCTGAATTCTGTCTTGAATGATTGCTAGTAAAGATGCTGGTCATATTTCCTTTAGCTAAAGCATCTAGAATAAATCGGGGAAATAATCTGAAGGCCTGGTTTAATTTACTGACTCTTGAGTACAAGGAAATCTGAACTCTGGTATTGTTCCTCAATGCACTTACCTTTACTGATTTGCAGCAGAAGATTAAAAGCTTGCATTAGAAAACTGCAGAAGGTTTTTGAGAGATTGTATAGTGTAGAGCTCAGCTGCTAACTTTGTGCTTGACAGTGTTCCTGAAACTGTATGAGGGTGCTAATGAGAGACTTTTGAAAATGCAGCACAATGGAAACGTGGGATTGATGCATAAGCTGGTGGTTCCAAATTACAAATTTATCCTGTGTCAATGTGGCATGCATTCCAAACAGTGTAATATTCTTCATGTTCAGGGTGAATTTTATGCTTTTGTTTTATATTATTTCACAAAAAAGTAAATATATACATTGAGTAAATACATTGTTTTTAATCTCCTGGATGTCAGTGTGATACTTGCTGAAATCTATTATTGCTTCTGTATTAGTTAAAATCAACAGTGGCCACTGAAAGCCAATCTGAATGTAGTCCATGATCTTGTACTGAAGAAAGAGTGAATATTCTCAAGTATGCTCCACTGGTACTCAAACTGTGAGCTCCCAGTGAAGAGTTCTGTAGTCAGACAGCTAATCCGTTTCATGTTTTTTTCTAGTATGTGAACTACATCATTTTTGCTGCAGTTTTTGCTGATTCATCTTGTCATCTGTCTCTCTCCCCAAATTGAGCATGCCCTTCTATGTAATGAGATTATCATGTTATCATTTGGCTTTACGTCTCTACACTAGACCTCATTTTCCTCTAATTTTCCTCTTAACCATTTTTATTGTTGTACCTGAGCAGTTTCAAGATGGTTATCTTAACACAGTGCCCAGTATTAGATGCAGTTCTCTAGCTGAGGTCTTGCTGATACTGAGTAGAGCAGAATAAGTACCTGTGCCCCCTACATGTGATGATATTAATATACCCAAATTGAAATTTGCTGCTAGTTTCCAATGGCATCCTTACTGGTATTCATGAAGTCCGTTGTCTCATGATGCTCAACTGCTCTTCTGTAGTAGTTTTGCCTTGCCTGCTCTTCTCCACTGTGCATTTGGTTTGTAAAATTGTGTGACTATTCTTAATACTTCTGTTTTCAGCCAAGCAACAGACATAATGGAAACAGCAGGCTGGAAGTCCATGATCCACTCCCACCCTCACTTAGTAGCAGAGGCCTTTCGCGCACTAGCATCTGCACAGTGTCCACAGTTTGGCATTCCACGCAAACGGCTAAAACAGTCATGAAATCTGCCATGAACTTTAGAGAAATTGAATTGACTCTACTCCTCCATGTCCAGAGGTGTTTTCACAAACCATAACAAGAGTTTTTGTTATCCTTGTCCACAGAACAGAAGCTGAAAAAGCCTATTGTTTGCTTTTCAGATGGATAATTTATGGTTTAATCCTCAGCTTTAAATTAGACTGATTAATTCACTGAAAGGCCTTAAATTATCTTCAATGACTCTCTAGTCCATATAGTCTAATGTATCTTGATTTTTTTTATTATTATTTTTTAATGCGCCTTGTCTTTTTGACTAGGCTCTGCAGGATTGCACTAGCTCCATAATGCAGTAAAGTCGATAACTGAAGATTAATTTTTGAAAGGGATCTTCCATTATTTTCAGAAGAAAAAAAATGATTATAGTTTGGTCCTGTGCTAACTGGAAGGTTTTAACTAGCCTCTCATTAAAAGCACTTGAACCAGAGGCACATAATGTACCCTAGACAAGTGCTAAATATGGAGAGAGCCCGTTTACCTTCAGCGAATGCCTACAGGCTATTTATGGCAATATACTGCTTTGAACATAATTTATTTTTCATTGTGGGGGCAAATATGCAATGGTTTGGCCCAAAAATGTATTTTCATTACAGTTTGTAATGCTTATTGTGTGTGTGTCAAAGCTGTCCAAACGGTAAAAAGAAACACAGAATAAACCTCTTCCTTGTGTTTCTTTATGGTCCATCATTAGTTTACATTTAATGCAGAACTGAACGAGAGGTAAAGTATTCAATGTGAAAACAGAATAGTATTGTATATGGAAAAAATATATCCCACATGTATGGTTACATAGAAAAGTAAAGGATGCATAGAATGACCAAATGTAAATTGAAGAAATGGGCCAAATGGATTCTGAATATGCACTTTTAATGTGTAACTTTTGTATGTTGTGTGGTACATATATATTTTGCTTTTGATGAATTAATGAGGTACAGGTAATCGTGGCTTAACTTTTTAGATACATTTTAAGATGCCCACAGCCACATGGGATTTAGTTTTGTTAGAAAAGAAAGGCATGTCTTTTTAAGACTCAATTGAAGGTGGCTATTGCAAGCTTTCATATTTAAGTAAGGAATATTTTCGCTTATTTGAAAAAGGCATGTGAATGGTAAAATTTTGAGGGAATTTTCCCCATCTTGACGTATATGCACAGCTTCCATTAACACCTAAGGAGGTTATGTACACATCAAGAGGAGTATTTCCCTGAAATGTCAGATGGTATTTGCAAGCAGAGACTTGCTCAGTCTTGCATTTCAGTTATTGTACTAGAATTGTGGATGGTATTGAAATTCTGCATAATGTGAAAAGGACGAAACATTTGTAAACTGCTTGTCATGGGCCAGTTCTTTATTATATGAACCTTAGCTTTAATATCAACATCCTCAGTGTTTGATAGCTTTGTTTACAATTGGGAGGAAAAGTCTGCAGTAGTGCACACTCTAAATGTTTCCTGAGTTATTGCATTGAGTTTACTGTAATAGTGATCATATGCTATATTTCTTTTTTGGGAAGACTTGGGTTTAGCAGTGGGGAATGGGAGGAGATCTGACCTAATTTATAAACATATTTGCATAAAGGTTTTAGTTTGCCTATTTAAAAAGTTATGCAGGGAGGAGAGAGGAAGAATTTCAGATTGTTTACTATCTTAAAATCTATCTCCATCCTCATTTCATTAAGATTCATCTGAATTGCTCCGAATGAAATTTTTAGAGGAAAGAGTATATAGTTTTATACTTTGGCATCTAGTAAACCATTAGCAAAGGTAAATTGGAAAAAATGCCCAGTCTGATTTTGAAGAATAAAATAATCTCTAAACATGCATTTTCTTCTTATCTTCTAACTAAATCTTTATGATGGATAAAGTATAAAATCAGAAACTTTAATAGTACATGAGGCATCAAATTATATATTTACAGAGATTTATCCTTTTATCAATTTTTAAATATTTATCTAAAACAAGGTCTCATAAGCATTCTTCACAATAAGACGTGAAGGTAATTGTTCCCTCCAAAATAGTGATGTTTTTGCTGCACTGTGTAATGTGTTAAGACTATATTTCCTCATACTCATCACTGGTGAAACTTGCAGCTCTAACATACAAAGTGACTTGAATATTTAATGCTGTAATGATTGTCCAGTTCAGTTTGTTCTAAAGTAACAACGTACAGTAATCAAACGGAAAGCTTAAGGACTTTTAAGAAAACTTTTTCTTTAGAAGCTTAATGGCACATTTTGTACCAAAAAATGTCAGACACTGTGCTGTAATATTATCTACATCCTAGAGTGTCCATTTTTCAAGTCGGGCAATGTATACCATACGTTACACTAACAGGAAAAATCAAAAACTATAATTGATCTGTTTAGATTGGATTTTATTTATTATGTATGTTTTCAAGTTTTGTCAGCTCTTAAGAAAAAGGTAAACCAGTTGCTGCATTCTTAAGTGAGTGCACTAATTACTCACCTCTTCTATTCTTTAATTAACTATATGCAGTGTTCTCACTGGAACGGGATAGCTGGTAATTACAACCTCCTTCAGATTCAGTAGCTTGTTTTTATTCCCCACATCTCAAGAGCTTGCCCTTCAAAACCTAAGTTGTCAGTTCCAAGTGCAGCAGATATAAAACTATTGAATACAACGGACAGTTTTTTCAGGCTGAAATCTTAGGGTTTTTTTCTTAGTTTTATAGACAGATTAGGAATATAATGTATGAAGGTGCCATGTTTTGGCTTGCCAACACTACTCCCTCAGATATATGTGAACCACCACTTCCGTACTTTTCTGGGGAGAACCCTGCATGTGTCCTGTGCGTGCGTGTGTGTGTATGACTGTGCGGTGTTTTTTGTCAAGAATGACTTTCTAAAAATAAGGACTCGATTTGCTGTTAAAATGCTATTATGTTTTTTTTTTTCATTTGAAACTCTCCTAAGGAGATGCTTTGGGTGGAAGATGCTTCAATAAATAATCCTTATTTCCTAGTCCATTTACTGCATGCAGAAGTATGAACACATTGTGCCTTTTTTAGGAAACTGTTGTAGTGAGGGGAAGATTTAACAGGATACAAGATCTTTTTAAAAGGTATTTTTAAAGGTGAAGAGAATGCTATTTCATACACAATTGAGATGGAAAAGTTACAAATTACCCATTTGAGCTCTGTTGCATGTTGATTCTTGCTTCCTAAATTCAGTTTCACTGGGGTAGAAACAACATGAAAAAAGTGGCATGAGCGTTACAGGTACAAATTGAATAATGGTATATTTTTGTGAAAATGTGAAAATATTTGCTGTTACAAGATAAGTGTATGTCAAAATGTGATAATCATGGGCACAAAGTTAGTTTTACAAGTTACTCTAGTTCTGATGGTTTTCTAAATATTGAGCATTTAGTATAAAATTCACCTTTGCACAGAAGGTCAGTAGAAAACCTACGTGGAGATTATGTTCCTATTAAATCCTCATGGTAAGGTTTCTCCCTTGGGAGAATAAAATGATGTGCAGTATTTGAAACTGTGTTTCATAAAAGACAGTGAATTGCAGATGTGGGGTATTGCTACCTGAAACATTGTTGAATTTTACAGTTGGTTAAAATTCCTAAGCTTAATTGATTTATTTTTTTGTAATTGACAAATGGAATGTTAACTGTCCTCTTTGTCTGGCGTTGATAGCATATTTAGTGCAGAGCTTTGCTCCTTAGCAAGACACTGACTTAGTCTCATAACTTGGCTTCTGCTTACAGTAAATGGACTATGTTTGTAAAGGGAATTCACTATTTCAAGTGTTTTGCAAGGAACTTCACCATATTTGTAACCTGGTTTTTGAAGGCTTAAGATCAATGAGTCCTATTTTAGAAATTAAACCAGTGAAATGACTTAGACCTGTTTTGGGGTGGAAATGATTAAGAAAATTCAGATATGTAAACAGTTGTATCAAACCATCCAGGCTTTTTTTATCAGCTGATGTTAATGGTGAAATACTTTTTGTACCTTGTTGCTGAAAATATTTTTCTGTTTCAGCACATCAAGTTACAATAAAGTTGTTACTTCTACAGGATGTGTCTGCGTGCCTTGTATTTGGGTTTTTTCTGTGTATGTTCACAATGGCTACCTTTGCTTGTCTCCTTTGAGAAAAGTATCCTGCCAGCACTGTCAGTCACGGTAGTGTAAAATATACTGCTGTCCTTTTGGAAACTTTTTTGGGGAGAATCATATTGCAGTCTTGCTCTGATCTCTGCTAACTTAGTTATTTTTCTATTTTGACACTTTCAAATAACTTAGAGCTCCAAACAGCTTATAACTTGCCTACTGGAGAAATGACTCCTTTACACAGACTCTGTCAGAAGCAATACTCATTGGGAAGAAGAGTTGATCCTGCAGTAATGTAAAAATTCTTTTTACACCTACCATCAAAAACTTCCCCCCCCACCCCCACCCCCCCATCAAGGTTTATAGGCTTATAATGACCACACACAACAGACATGTTGCTTGCATTTGTTACGGGAGAAGTGGTATGTAAGAATAATTTTCTATGGGTAGTTCATGGGGTTTAATATGTTTATAGATATCTTGCAAAAATATGTAGCACTGTTGATATGCTGCTCTATGTATTTGACTTTGGATGCACTGAACTCCAGAAAACAGTGATGTCAAGGTGAGTTACTTCAGAAAAAGTGATGTAGGCTATTTGAACAAATGCAATTACCTGTTATCTAGGCTATGGCAAGAAGTGGCCCAGTTGACCATTGCAGGTCTTCCTAAGATACAGGACTGTCTTGGGTGTCTCAGTGTAGCATATTGCTGTTCTGTGTGTAGGTACATGCAAAATTCTCCATGTTTCCTTAAAACCTCCATTCCTTAAGTTACTCCGCAGTGATTCAGCCTAAAGTTCCTCGTGGGGTTTATACCAAAAATGGCATAACTTGCACCTTCACAGGCAGTTTCAATAACCTCCAAGGTAAATGTGACTAGTTACCACTGTGAGTGGTAATCAAAATTATTTGTGCAAGTCCAAATTTTTGAACTGAGCTTCAACATTTCAGTAAAGAATATTAAGCTTCATTATTTCTTTTTTTAGAAGGCTATATTTTTATACTTGGTGTTTCTGAAGTAATTTTTCTTCTGAGATGTTTACCATGTCATCATACAAGTTTTCTTCATTATTCAATGAAACAGATTCAATTAACATCAATTTTAAAAAAAGGCACCTATTTTCCTTTTAAAATGAATTCTGATAGTCTTTTGTTTGGAAACCGGGCACATGAAGCTTTTCCTGCTTTTAGTTGAATGCTTCTGTTAAAAAAAAAAAAAAAAAAAAGTATTTTAGGTGTCAATGTATTTAACTAAAATATTACTCATAACTTTTTCTTTAGCAGCTTTCTGAGAATTCTCATTTGAAGTCCAACGTATGTCCTTTTCTTTCTTTAAAAAGGGAAAACTGAAATAATGACTCTTGATTGGTAAGATGCTATTAGAGTAAAAAGCATCTCTCACTGTACAGAATTGCCAGCCCTGCCATACGCTGAAGGTATAGTCCGATGTTCTACTGCCAGCTTAAGCAGGCTCTGTTACTGCCACTAGACAAAAAGCATTTCAAAGTGCAGCCTAAGCAGTCACAGGTGAGAAATACTGATTAAAGTGTGTCTTTGTGCCACTTGTCCAAA